GGTGGAATCAATGGTGTTTGTGTGAAATCCTACGATAGGATGAACACTAACCAAGTGCTCCCAGCATTCACAGTTTTCAATTGTCAAACACACAAATGAAGTCTGCAATATTGCCACAGCATCAGTGCACACATCTGGCAGATATTTGGCGTTAGAGCTGTCATTGTTTTTCACATTTTGCATTAGCATCAACGAATTAAGCATATTCATGCTATTAATTCACTTGTGCAAATGGTAACCACTGCACGAATGACCAAGTATTGCCGGCAGTCGGGTCTAGCTTCTGACATCACATCAACGGCAATCCTTGGTTTAAATAGCAAATAAAACAAACAAAAATCAGTAGCGGATTGAAAGATTTTCCAAATTACCAGATTTTACATCGTGTGGAAATGGGAACTTTTTAATATTCACCTTTATTTCCCAGTCGCAGACAAACCAATAGCTGTTCTCCTGTACACGTCTCTCCTATTCACCATCTTACAAGTTTCCCAACCTGCTAACTGTTCATAGAACATGATGTTGTTGATTGATGTCAACACCGTTACCCAAGGTTATGGCGACTTCGTCCATAGGGATTCTATATCACGAGACTGTGACTCCTTCCAATGCGTTGAAGCCCAATATATGCGACGAATTTCAAACCGCATTTAGGTCATTATCTGAGGATAATTGAAACCAAGTCTGTGCAATGTATTCTATTTTCAATGCATTGTGCCACTTGAGAAACCAAAATAAGTGTCATCGAATCTCGTAGTGAATAATTACTAATCTAATCCATTCAATTGTGCATTCAGACCTTTCTGAATTTTAGGGCCACACTCTAAACAGGCAATTTTGCTGCTTTGTCGAAGAAAGTATGCTGTGACATCACATTCCTCCTAGAATTATTCAATATCTGGAATCGTTTCTCTCGAATCACATCTGGAGTATGTATGGCCGAAACTATAGACATGTACATAGCACTGGCCTGCACTGTCTGCATACACAGAAGCGCATCTACCAGTGACGTCTACAACTTACAATCAGTTCAATTTTTCTAACTTCAAAGCACAAACCACTACTTTCATTCGGGGAGCATATTTCAACATTTTATTGCACTAAGTAGGTGAGACCGCCCACCCAACAAATTGGAAGGACTGTTGTGGCCTTCGGTTTGTATAGCTTTCGAATATTCAAATTCCAGTGTGGGTCACATCAGAGTAAAGCAGTGCGAAAACACTACGACCAGAGACCTGCAAAAATGAGGCTATAAGAAGCACTAGTTCAATTTATGGACTAGCATTCTTAACTTGAACAATAACCGAATGGCATGGATGCTAGCTGACGAAAGCAATAAAATAGCAGTAAATGTTCAGTAAAATTTTCTATAAATAGACCGATTATAATGACAAGAATGGCTGAATAATCAAGAAACTTAGGACTAAAATATTGTGAAGAATGAGTTAAATGTGTTAGGAGTAAGGGAAGCATATACGAGGGGATAAAAAGAAGGAGAGAGCTGAAGAGAAGAAGCAAGGTAATGTCGAATCAGCTTGTAGTGTATGGATGTGGGTGGTGATGGGGCATTGCATTGCAGATGATGCAAGTGTGTTGAAGTCGACCGATGGGAGCTCCTGTTCGCTGAGTGGCGCAAGCAACACCCACTCATCCACCATCTCTATATAAGTTGACAGATATTGAATTAGAGCACACTGAAATCAGTCGCGTCATGGAACTCTCCAAAGTCAGTCTCGTCTTCCTACTCACTGCCCTTGTGTTTGCCCATGCTAGCCAATCGAACCCACCACCGACAACGACCACAGCTCCAACTACTACAGCGACAGCCACTAAAGCTTCAATGACCACAGAAGCAACCACCAAAGCTCCAGTGGATACAGGGGCAACCACCAGAACTCCAATGACTACAGAGGCAACCACCAAAGCCCCAATGACTACAGAGGCAGCCACCAAAGCTACAACAACTACACGGAAAACCACCACAACTCCAAGGACTACAGCTACAACCACCACCAGACGATCGTCCACAACTGCAACTGCTAGACCAACTACGACAACTGCACCACTGACGACAACTTCACCAACCACAACTTCTACGGTGCAAGCCAGCAGTGAAATGACCACCTCACAAATGTCCCTTCTTTCACCATCTACTCCACTTCAACTCCTCAACTCCCTCATTCTCTTCCTCACCTCCTATGTACTTCTCTAATTCCCACCACATTTGACCACTCTTCCACTTTTTATTTCCTATCTCTATTCCAACCTGTTTTAACTTGAATGTAAACACACAAAAAGGCTTGAACGATCTTGCCAAAATGTTGTTAAGCAGTATCCCCATTGAGCCTCGTATCTGCCTATCTGCGTATAGTTTATGCTGGATGGATGGTTTTACTTGACCAAGCGAAGGAGTGCATCCTGACCAGTAAATTATAATTCACCTTAGATACCGCGAGCTTCATGAATGCAACATCACGACAACGGCTATGAAAGTTTTCCTCACTTTGTGTTACCCTCAGTTGATAGTAATGCCGCTAAGTAGGAAGGATTCAAATGGCTTTTTAGATTTTACAGTCACTTACAAGGCGGTCGTTGCATAGAAGGCCTCGATATAGTATTTTAGCACGCCAGTTCTTTTTGAGAAAGTGCGAGATGTCTCTCCCTCAATATGCATCTTCCTTCTGCTGAAAGTAATTGTGTAGAAGGGGAGAAGATCTAACCCTGTTGCAAGGGGTTAAGAAGGCTTGGAGGTCGACTATTTACCTAGCTGTGCCATAGTCGAGAAGAAAACTGCAGGGATGTCCTTCAAGTATGCCAGAAATCGGCATATAAGAATGGGAGCCATTTAGAGCAGACAGGAAAGAGAAAATGTAAGCTCACCTGGTCTAGGGGCATAGCGTAGAGAGACACGATGCGAGGGTGTTGGCCTTTTTTATTTATGGGCTTTCTGGTACACCGGGGTTGCTGAAGCTCTTACTGCATATCCGTTGCGAGCTTGACCAGTTAGCTAAAGGAGTTGGTCTTTATTAGACAAAGCTTCTAAACCATAGCGAGAAGTCGAACTCCATGTCTTGTTTGCTGGCCAGCCATTAAAATCACGTTTCCCTAGGTGTTGAAGATACATAGAGTGCTTTTCATCATTCTCATCGGCTTTTTGGAGACGGTGGAAGAAGTTTTTTGTAAGGCTAA